TTTTTTTTGCTGACGGTCCCGCCCTGAACTTCTGAAGTACCTATTAAATTGTTATACATTCGGTACTGTTCTGAGGCAAACATAGGAATATTGCGTATAGAATATCAAAAAAGTATATATTTAATTTTACAAGTATTGTACAAGTTTTTGACCTCGAGTACGGTTATCCAGAATAAAAAAACCCTACAAAAATGTAATATCCTAAATGTTTTCATTTTTTTAGATTAAGGTGTAAGAAACACACTAGCTCAAGCCCATCCAGGAGGCCGAAATAGGATTTTAAGGGCAAATTGTGCACGATGGAATTGTCGGGAAGATCGTAGCGAGTGTTTCAGTTTGCATTTGCGTCTACTGAATACTTCATAGCAAATCTACAAATCCTGAATTTTGTAAAACTGTTTGATGCATCTCCGGATAATAATTTTATCTTTCGAGATTGCATATTTATTGGTGTTTTGTGTCGGTTGCATCATGTTAATAAATGTTGATAACATCTTTTAATTTGGTTTGCAGTCTTGTTCATGTGGCGTAAATCGAAGTTGGCTGTCATCACATGGAAGTAATATGAGTGGGTTGAAGAAGTGAAGGAGGTAGTAATCATTTATAAGGAAGTTTACCAAATGTGTTATCTTCGACGAATATAACCACATATGTAGTAAAAGTGTGGTTTTGTGAATGTAGGTTTGGTTTGACTTTGTCCACCGTAACGCCCGCGACCACGTTATCGACAACTCTTTCTGTGGGCCATGATCATGTGCCCTGGGGTGAGCGAAGCGTTTATGGGTTGTTCGTGTGTTGCAGGCGGCGCCGCCCGCCCTGACTACGGGCAACGGCGCGCCCGTGGACGATCGTGCCAACAGCCTGACGGTGGGCCCCCGCGGCCCCATCGTGCTGCAGGACCTCACCCTCATCGACGAGCTGTCCCACTTCGACCGGGAGCGCATCCCAGAGCGCGTGGTCCATGCCAAGGGCGCAGGTGCATTCATATCTAATAAAAATATACTATGTATTTTCTGAATTGTTACTGTTCATTTTCATATTCATTTGTATTATACATGTTAAATATTATACTATTATTATGTGACCCTACAGTTTGGTGATGCTTAAGATATTAATTCGGCTGTGGGCTCTTCTCCCGTCGTGTTTCGCATCAATTTATTAACATTTTGTCGATCGTCAAGCTAATTAACAAACATTTGCTGTGTATGTGCGCCCTTGCGTAAATTGAGGGACATTCAGAAGAAAAAAAAACCTCCATCAAATCCTAGCTTTATACCACTTTTTTGCGCGGTGCATACAAAAGGAACAGTTGACTTCAACTTTTGTTGTTGTTTGTTTTTAATCTTGTGTGTCATATATTGTGAATGTTATGCCCTTAACAGTCATAAACTACATTAATGAAACACATAAGAATAGTTTTCCGGTTTCCCCTCCCTATAAGAGAACAGTTGACCGCTGTCCTCGCGGTTTGAAATCCATCTTTCAGTGCCCATTATTCCTTCCCTAGCGTCGGATGCAACGGGTGGATCGAGTAACTCAGAGGCTCCTGATCCTTAGGATTTCCTCTCCATTCCCTTCATAATGGGACTCTTCAGGTGAAGTGAAACCAACCCGTCTAGGGGGAAAACTCCTAAATAAATTCTGCAAGTTCGAAGGCAGAAAGGCCCCTCTACCTAACTCAACCTGCGCAGCGCCCGTAACGTGGCCAGGGAATGTTTTCTGCTACTGACAAACCCGAAGGAAAGAAGCCGGACTGATTTCATGACAACCAGAGCAAAAGAAAAAGGTTAACATGGGAATAACGAATGTACTAAATGTAGCAACATGGAATGTTCACAGCATACAAAATAAAGGAATGGAACTATTAAAGATATAAGAAGGAAGAAAACCTAACATTGCTGTAATAACAGAAACAAAAAAGAAAACAAAGGGAACCAGAAAGATCGATGACTGGATGAATATCAATAAAGGAGTGGAACAGTGCAAAAGGGCAAACGCTGGTGTAGCTATGTATGTGGATAAGAAATGGAATAAGTGTATTATGAGTTACAATGAAAGAATACTAAGAGTAGATTTTAAAATGAGTAGAGGTAATCTTACAGTTATAGGAGTTTATGCCCCCGAGGAAGGTAAGAAAGAAGAAACCATAAAATTTTATGACACACTACAGACAGAGGAAAGAGAAATGATACCCAAAAAATCGTGCTTGTTGTAGCTGGAGATGTAAATACGAGAGTGGGAAACACCTATTTCCAATGTTATTGGACTGTATGAAGAACAAGTGATGAATGGGAGTGGAAAAGAACTTAGAGGATTTTTTTTTTTTTTTTTTTTTTTTTAAGAAAAAAGAACATCTATAAATATACTTTGAGTGCCCTGGAACAACACTCAATAATAGATTATGTAATAGTTAATAAAAAGTTAAGTTCAAATGTGAAGAATACCCATGTTTTAAGAATGATATGACATAGATGTTAGATCACTAGTAAAAACAAAAATAAAAGCAAAATGGAAGAAATGAACTGCCTAAAAAAATAAACCAGAAGCTGTATGATATAAAGTGTATCTACTAGGAGACTGTAGTGTAAGGGAGTTATATCAGAGACAGTTGAATCAGTTCTTGAGCAACATCGCTACATGACAAGATCTGAATGAAGAATGGAGAATCATTAAGGAATCAATAAGAAGAGCAGCATATGAGGCATTAGGGACCCAAAAAATTAGACCAAATAGGAAAACTGAAAATATGGAATGATAGGGTTGCAGAGGCAGTGCAGGAAAAAAAAGCTAGCATACCTAAATTATCTACAAAACAGAAATGAGCAGAATTAACAGATATACCACTAAAAAAGAAATTTAAATAAAAGTTACATCATTAGTGAGACAAGCCCATAAAGAATCTTGGAATACATATGTATGTTAGAACATGATGTATTTGGAAGACAAAGTAAAGCCTACTTATACTGCGGATGAAAAAAAAGGAATAAAAAGAAATGTAGATATGTTAGATATGAAAGAGCTTGACAATGCATTAAAATCTATAAAAAATAGGAAAACCTGTGGTCCTAATGGGGTTAACGTAGAATTAATGAAATATGGAGGTATGTTACTGAAGTTTCGACTACTCCTCGTAATGAGTGAATGCTGGCAAAGATGTGCAATACCAGATAAATTGTTAGATTCGTTAATTACTGTTACTGAATTAATGTTTTAAAAAAGAAGATTGAAGTAAATGTCACACCTATGGGGGTATTTGTCTACCTAACTTGTGCTACAAAGTATATGCAAAAATCGTGAATAACAGAATAGCTCCAATTGTTGACTGCACTCTACCTCAGAAACAACTGGGGTTTAGAAAAGGTCATTTAATAATAGATGACATATTTACATTAAAACATTATGAAAGAAGGAGGGTACCCTAGTCATGTAGTACAAGTGGTGAAAAGTATGTACGATAATACTAATATCGCAGTAAAATTCAAAGGATTTGTTTCTGGGAAGAGGATTATAAATAATGGACACAGGAAGACAGTCTTTCACAAACTCTCTTTAACATATATCTGGAATATATAAATTAAAAGGTGGAAGAACATGGTGCCCTCAAGAATTCACCTGGGCAAAAATACATTTTTAAATACTCTTTTATATGCTGACGACCAAGGAAAATGAAGATGATTTACAGAGATCTATTTACCATGTGGAGCCAATTATTATGGAGAACAATCTGATAGTATCAGTTAATAAATAAAAAGTAATGTCTTTTAAAGGAAAGGAATCAATAACTACAAAGAGTGTGCTTCAAAATATGGTTTTAGAACAAGTGACACGTTTTAACTACCTAGGGTGTAGTCATGTACATATGGAAGAGATAGAGAGATCACCAGCAAGATCCATAAATTTCAAGTAATATGTGGAACTATTAGTAGAACGTTTAAAAAGAAAGTTAAAAAAAAAAAACAGTTAAAATTTTATGATATTATGGTCCTTCCAGTTCAACTGTATGGATGTGAAACCTGGGTTCAAAAACAAGAAGGTTGAATCAGCAGAAATAATTTTTTGAGAGGAGTTAAGGGCTATACGTTAAGAGACCAAATAAAAAGTGAGGAAATAAGAGAGGAACTAGAGCGGAAAGAATCGGTACATGACAAAATTAAGAAGTATAGAAGCAATGGGTGACCCATATTGCAAATCTGTCGCAAGATGAACTTCCACTACAAGCCCTGAATTGTAAGCTGAGAGGAAAGAGGCTGGAACAGGCAATATGCCTAATCCATAAAGGAAGATGAAATTTTTTGAATTCCCGACTGCCAGATGTTGAATTAGTTGAGATTGCTAAAGCGTTGAGCGCTAAGACTCTAGCTTAGGAAGATTGGCTTTGAAGAGCTCAAATTTTTATACTGTATTTAATGCTAAAAATTGAATTAATTGAGCCTAACCTACAATAGATTAGGGCAGAAAAGGAACATCATTTTTCTGTTTGTTTAACCTAATATTTTGCATTTAGAAATGTGAGAAACAAGAATTTTTATTTTTCATCCTAATTTCTGATAAATTTAAATTAGTTACTAAACACTTCATTTATATGTTATGAATGTTTTTCAGGTGCTTTTGGGTATTTTGAGGTCACCCATGACATCACCAAGTACTGCAAAGCAAAAGTCTTTTCTCAAGTAGGGAAAAGGACCCCAATGGCTGTGAGATTCTCTACTGTAGGAGGGGAGAGTGGTTCTGCTGACACAGTGAGGTAATTATATTTCTTATATTTAAAGGTTTGTTTTTTGTGATGGTTTTAACAATAAATTACTTGCAAGTGTGAAAATTTGTTTTACAGAGATCCCCGTGGCTTTGCTCTTAAATTTTATACAGAGGATGGCAACTGGGACTTGGTTGGCAACAATACTCCAATCTTCTTCATCAGAGATCCCATTCTTTTCCCTGTTTTTATCCACACTCAAAAGAGAAATCCTGCTACTCATCTCAAGGTATATTTATATATTTGACCTTATAATAGCCTTAGCAACATTTAAGGGGAGACATAAAGCAAAAATATGAATTTTTAACATTTCAAGGATTTTAATATTTTCTAAGTATTTAGAGTTTTCTCAATATATATGAATATAGAAGAGCACCTAAATAGCTAAATATGCCTCTGATGATGAGGTCCAATTTTATTTCAATTGGTGTCTGCTTGATAACACTTTCACTCCATGTAAACTACAATCCATTTAAATGTTTTGTGTGAATGTGCACTGGAGGCCGTCCATAAACATTTTGAACATTTCTTTGCCAAAATATTACAGGTTCAATGAAATAAAATGGAAAAATATTTCCCTTTTTTGTAACTACATGTAATAACTTTAAATTAATTATGTGTTAAAACAAATTAATGAGATAATATTTTAATGTGTTAGTATAAGAACTTGAAAAAGGAAATATTTCAACAAATATTATAAAATATTGTTTTTTAAATCATTATGTTACACTAATTGAATACCCACCTGCCCCCCAACTAATGCTATGAATCGCTGCCTCAAACCCCCTCCCCACTCTTTAGCATTACATAATTTCTGGACCAACCCCTGAGAGCACTCTTTCCCAAAATTATTTACTTCCAGTATTTCACACTATTTTCCTTTTAATACTAGAATGTTTGTTCCCTTCCCATTGTCCTAAAATTTTCCCTTTGTTTTTAATAATTATTTATTTATATCCTTCTGCACTTCTGAAGAAATTTCTGAGCTTGCATCGAAAACATCTAGTGAAATTTGAAACTGAAATGGAAGAAAGGGATTTTTCAAATTTCCCTATTTAATTTTACTAAACAGTTTTTAGACATTCTTTTCCGTGCAGTTACACGAGTTTGAAACTAAAGAGAACCAAGGTGAACTACCAGGAAGAGATGTGGACATGAATATCAGAATGGAAGGCAACAAGCATCTTCACAAAAACCTCAGAAAACATTACACCTTCATTGATAATACCCCCAGCTACAGACTATTAGAAATGGGACCAGTCTGCTAATGATATCTTCATTTTTTAAGCTGGGTAGAATTAAATCCCTGTCTACAATTCGATTAAACAATTTATCTACAATTTGTCGAAAAAATTTGACTCAAACTTCCCTTAGTTCACTTGCCTGAGCATAAATCTTTGAACCAGTGAATAAGATGATAAATCGAAATTTTACTGAATATAAGATAAATTATACTCCTGAATTCTCTGAAAGTCTTCGAAATTCTAATTAGACAAGTTTAATTCCTTCTGGTTTATAAGTAATAGATATCTTGTTTTAAGCAATGAATATGATGTTCAAAAATACACATAAGTCAAGTTGTCTGGTTATTCACGCTTTATCAATGATTTGAGATCACTGATCAAAATCAAATAAGTCGAGTTGTTTCTTTTTTCATGCTGCAAGATTAGTTGAAAGAGAAATAGAACATAAGGAAGAAATATATTATTATAGTTATCAGCTTATTCACGTTAAATTGTTTGTTGAAGTGCTCGTGACTAATACAGAACATTAATAACATGGCCAAATCGGCATGTGTAGAAATTTTAATCTTTTGGGCATTAGAGTTTTGTATTAGTTATGCATTAATAGAATTCATACAAAACAGAAAAGAACTTGGTTTCAAAAATACGATGTTCCGGCACTTTGCAACAAGTACTATTTTTTGGATACGTTTTTCACAAATAAAATTATTTTATTTCGAAATTTTCACTACCCTGATATGTACCACAATGATGAAAGATTTTTCATTCACTTGTATTCACAAAATGCACATACAGAAAGAGCCTTTCTTCCAGAATGGCCAACTTTACAGAAGGACTCATTAAATGTACATTTTTAATAAACGAATTATAAAATAAAAATAAATTCCCCAAATATCTTACACAATTCGTTCAATATCGTCCATAATTGACTGATCTTATGTTCTTCCAATAACATGCAAACTCATAATATTAAGTGGCAGCTAGTATCAGACAAAGACAGACAATTGGTATTTCCTTCAGACGCTGCGACGTGCTATATGCCTAGACCCCCACCCCATACCATACAAGAAGTCTGGTTGATTTAATGAAAGATTAAATGTAAAATAAGCAGTCAGAGTAAATGAAATAATAGTTCCAGAAATGAGACATGATGCTCTCCTGGGAGAGCTCTAGATACCAAAGAGAGTGCTCATTGAACTGAAATAAAAGAGATTTTGTAGAAGAGAATTAATTTTATTGAACTTTTGCCATTTGGCGTGGCGATGGTGTAAGCTGTTAGACCCAAGTAAGCGGTTTCAAACCTAATTGAAGCTGTGGAGTTTAAGGGTGAAGAAATCCTTCGTATGCCTAACTTTGGAGGGGAAGTAAAGCCGGCTGTCCTGTGTTAGTAGATTTACTGCCTAAGTGACACCTCTAAGTTTAATTCAAATTGCCTGTTTTGACGGCCAAGAAATATCTCCTTTCTCCACTAGTTGGAGAAAGGAACCTAGTAAAATTTGTGTGGTCAGACGCAAGAGCAGGCCTCAGGGCCAGAGAGCTCTCTCACTACGAAAAATAAGACAACAATTCAATTCAATTTCTTCCAGTTTTTTGTGGCTTTTATGGAAAGGTGGCTACAGAAAACATTCAGTGGGTAGATACAGATTTAGAGGAAATTGATCTTGATGAACAACACCAGTGTTCTGCTAAATAGAAGTGCACTCGCTTAGAACATTCATTTCTGTATTTTTCATGATCTATCAGTCAAAAAGTGCTATTCTTGTTTAAACAGCAATTAGTTTCTCATTTTCAGTTTTTTTCTTATTTATGAAACCAGTTATACCGTAATTATTTTTAATAGAATGTTGAGAAAAATCTTAAATTTAAAGGAAACTTGTATTATACTTCATGTTTTGGTCATTGTTAATAATGAGATATCTAAATTGTATTTTCGAATTTTTGCATGAATAACCAAATAACTCTAATTGGAAAGGTAAAAATGCTTAATTCTACTTTTGAAAATATACTCGATAAAAGAGCTGTAAAAACACTGTGATTTGAATATCATTAATCCCTTATTTACAGCATCAGTTGAAAGTAGTTTTTTATTCTTCTGTAAAATTATGTTTACATGACTTATCAGCTTATTTAGCTGGGTCAAAGAAATATAAAATATAAATATCCCCTTGCAATTTCATATCCAAAATTACTATTGAGACAACAAGTTCTGTTGCTGTTGTTTATAATTTTTATTTCAAATCATCTTAATCTAGTTTTCCAATTCAAAGTTTATTATTTAATTATTCACTTTCTGTTTAATACTCTATTCTCTTGAACATGTGATATAAATAAAGCTTAAATTTTGAATGAAAATATACAATTGCTTTTCTGTATATGCATTGCTTCATTTAACTGGCATTCTTTTAACTTAAATTATGAATGCAAGTCAATTCCATGATTTAAGTAAACAGATATACTATACTTTAATTATATTTCAAAGTTCCAATTTTTGATAATCCTATTTCCTTTATAGTTATTATTCTTTTTCTTATTTATTTAATAGTTTAAATATTCTTTGCATCCTTTTGTTATAGGACCCTGATATGTTTTGGGACTTTTTCTCATTGCGACCCGAGTCCACTCATCAGGTTATGTTCCTCTTTTCTGACCGTGGAATCCCTGATGGATATAGGTTTATGAATGGTTATGGTTCTCATACTTTCAAGACTGTGAATGCCAAGAATGAAGCATTTTATGTTAAATTTCACTACAAGGTAAGTGTGCATAAAAACTGAAAGCTTGTGTACATGCATATTTTTCCAAAGCGCACTGGTGTATGCTATTTTTGTGCATAGATAGGACAATTTAAATACAAGTTACTGTTGTGCATTAGTAGTACTTCACATTACATAAAAAGGCAAAATTGAATGAAATAAGATAAGATCTTTTTGTACATTAAGTATTAGAAGTATTACTGAATGAAACTATAAAAATACCTTAGTCATAGTTTATAATAAAAATTAATTATAATAGTAAATCCATGCAAGTGGTCTTAAACAACCCCATGTAGACTCATGTAAATTTGTTTTTTGCATATTACCATTGTTCACTGGTTCACCCAATCATCTGTTCTGTTTGCCAGTTATCGTATGCTGTGTGAACCGTTTCTACAGAAATTTAGATTTTTTCCAAGGAATAAATAGAAATTACGAGCCCAATGACAACTAACATTAACATGAAGTAAATTGTCAAATTGTCTACATTACACATTGGTTATTGAACTAGTTAATAACCAATTTATAAGCTAATTTTAATAACCTAATTTATAACTGAGCTAATAGTTATAAAAATTATGAGGTAGTTGATTTAAATAATTAGGAATTAAGTTATAAGACACAATAACAAAAATTAGTCTTTAGAGTGAACAATTGACATAATAACAACTCAAATTATTAACAATTAAGTATTTTGCTTGTTATTAAATATCATAGATCATTAACAATTGACCAAATCCACAGGCTTATTAATATTTCTTTTATTGGTAATAAACATTGTATAGTTAGATTGTCAATGGGCAAATGGGAATAATTATTAATTGCTATGTATAAAATAAATAAATAATAAAATTATATTTAAAAAAAGCTGTGGTGGGATCAAATCTAGCTTTCAAATGTCTATCAAGATTACACATTAACAACTGGTTGATACTAAATAAATTATATCTAAAATAAAATGGTAGTAGGTAACCGACAAAGAAGAGATTAAGTTATACATAATTGACAAATTACAATCCTGTGATAACTAAATAAAAAATCTTGTAACAACAGGCATCAACTGTAAAAATTAAAAATTACATTGTATATAATTAACAAATTACAATCTTGTAATTAGTTATCAACAGGCAAGAGAAACCAAAATCATCTAATTTTTATCTAAAACAACTAAATTGTAAATAACACAAAATGCCAGTCGGCAACAGGCAAAAATTAAAGTGCATGATTAACATATTGAAATCTTGTAATGACGGTAAAAAATCATAATAAATCATCAATGAAACTGAATGAGAGTAGGCAATAAGGAAAAATGGGAATTTGGAACAACAGGATGATGGTGATGATGATGATAATAATTTGAATTTATTTCACCATCAACATTTTTTGTTAGTGTGCAGTATAGAAAAAAACACACAAAAACAATTGCCTTCAAATATAAATAAGTATAGGAATTTAAAATGAAATGCATAACAATCTTCAACCTATAATGAGAGCCACAATTATAATGATGATAATAGTTATAACAATAATATTAGTAAATACATTGATAACTTAATTTTGAACCTAAAAAGTAAGAAGTGGGTTTTAATGAATTTATACGGATTTCACTTCAAGTGCTTCTTGCATTTGACAGAGAAGGATGAGTTACCTTTTACATTACGTGAACTGTAGCTACTGAAATTTACCAAACAATTAATGAACAATTGTCTATAACTATATAACTATAAACAATTGTTATAAAATTAACAAAAAAGAAAAAACAAAGCATGAAAGGTTTATATGGCAAAATCTTTAATTCTCATTGGTTTCCAAACACATTTTAATATTTTCTTGCTTAATTCCAAAATCTGCCCTCTTCAGCTCAGATTTTGATCAAAAGTTATGCATAATTACTTCACGTTGCTTACAGAATTTATTAAGATATTACATTGACAGTTCTTAAGGTCTTTGTGTATGCAGTCAGCTATGTGAAAGAATATTTTAACATTTGCTCTTGCATTTGTGATATGCAATATTTTGGTCTTTTTCTCATTGATTATTAGACCATTATCATTGCATCATTTTTTTAATATCCCACATTTTTCCCGTAACACTTTACTACCTTCTTTCAGTCTCTGTTTGTAGATAATAGCATCTTGTCATATGCATATATATAATAAGAACCATCTTCTAGATAATTTTTTAAGTCGTTAACAAATATTAGGTAAAGTATATGGCCTAAGAAACTTCCTTGTGGAATTGTCGTTTTCACAGTTTTTGTTTCACTACATAAATATTATCAATTTTGACCCTAAATGATCTTGCTTCTAGACAGTTTTTGAATAACTGTAAATCATTCCCTCTACCTCCAGTTCATCTAACATTTTTTGGTGGTTTTATTTTTCTGATATGCAAATTGATGTCTACAATTTAATATTTTTCAAAGAAGTTAGTCAATTTTTGTGGTATGAATTTTTCAAATACCATATTTTACTTATTGCATTTAAAATGGAGATCAGTCTGTAATTTTCATAGGCTAGGAGACTGCTTCATGTATTGGTCTAATTATAGATTATTTTAATTTGTCTGAAAAAGTTCCCTTGTTAACGCTTCAGTTAATATTTTTTGTTACAATTGGTGCTATTGAGTTAATATTTTGTTTAATATCTTTTATCCAATATCCTCGAGCTTTATTAATATCCAATGCTTTAATTAATAAACTAATTTCTTCCAATGTAAAGTAAAAGTGTTACTTGGTGTTATTCCGCGAGTTTCCACTTATTTACAATATTTTCCTTTTGCTGCTATAATAATAATAATAATAATAATAATAATAATTATAATTATAATTATAATTATAATTATAATTATAATAATAATTATAATTATAATTATAATTATAATTATAATAATAATTATAATTATAATTATAATAATAATTATAATAATTATAATTATAATAATTATAATTATAATTATAATTATAATCATAATCATCATTATCATTATTACTATTATTATTATTATAAGACCGAATACTTGAAAAAACACAACAGGTGCTCTCGTGGCACAATAGCAAAGTAGCTTACCTTTCACCACTGAGATACCGGGTTTGATTCCCATAGAGTTTCATGTTAAATTTTTTGCGACAAAACGAGTTAGTAGTGAGATTCACAGGGGCTAGCCCAACCCTTGTGAAGTGTCCTAAATCTTACTCCTATCCTCATTCCTTCCCAATTCTGGCAGATAGGTAGAAGATGGCGATTCCCTAATTTGACTGCGACTGATGAGACTTGACTACCCAGCGGCCCCTAGAGGTTGCTGGGTGTATCATAAAGGAGGCTTACTATTACTCCTAAAATAGTAATTAACAGAGGATTACTCCAAGGTGCGCTCAATGCTCTTTAGGAGCTAGGAGACACGTTGGGTGTATAGATGCTACACATTTTAAAAACTGTGTTGTAACCTCCACTGTACCGCCCCGTTCAAAACGTATGCCACAGGTGGTACAAACACTCACCAAAACTAGTGACATCTGTTGGACTCTATACAATATTATACGATCAACAAATTCAAATGGATCACATTAAAGCAGTAAACAAACCGAATATTGTTATACAGGATTTGGAGAAAAAATCTTCTACTTGCAGATGTTGCTGTGCCTTGCAAACAAAATGTAAGCAATCTTAGTAAATCTTAGTAAATACACGTGTTTGGAAATCGAAATCAGCTGAATGTGGGGCATAAAAGCACAGGTTGTACTAATAACCATCGGAGCTCTTGGATTTGTTCTGCAAAATATTCTGCCAACTCATAGCGTCTTAGTTGTGTGTAGAAGCTAGATGTTATTTACTGATTTTGTTCATTCTCTTACAGACCAATCAAAAAATTAAGAATCTGCCTGTCAGCCGTGCTAATGAGCTCTCAGGTTCTGACCCAGATTATAGCATCCGTGACCTGTACAATGCTATTGCTACGGGTGACTTTCCTTCATGGACTATGTATCTTCAAGTGATGACTTTCCAACAAGCAGAAACTTATCGATGGAATCCATTTGATGTAACCAAAGTGAGTAATGTTCTTTCATGCTCGTGTGTGTATCTGTGTGTGCGCATGTGTCTGTGTATGGGTGTGTTCAAGGAAGTATAAAGCAAAAGATAGTAGTTCTATTGAACCATTGAATAATGACCTTCTATGAAATCCATAATAGAAATAATATTATGTTTATCTTCAGATGACAGGAGTAAAAAGAAATTTCGAAAGTTGCTTTCGAATTGTTAAGTAATTATTTGATATAAGTACTTCTAAATTAAAAATTGAGCATTATAATACTATTTAATCTATCATAATTTTATTGGTTAACAGGTGTGGCCTCATAGTGATTTCCCATTGATTCCTGTTGGCAAAATTGTACTAGACCGCAATCCCAAAAACTATTTTGCTGAAGTGGAGCAAATGGCTTACAGTCCTGCTAACTTTGTGCCTGGCATTGAGCCAAGTCCAGATAAGATGTTGCAGGTAAGATATTTTATTTCTATGTAAAAAATGCCACAGTTATTCATTTGGGATACTGGAATTTGATTAATTGTACTATTCATCAACAAAAAAAATTAAATACCATCATAAATAATGACCTTCATTACTGCAATAAATCCTTCATGATTTAGAATGAATCAGAATGACGTTGTATTGCATAAATCCTTGTCACAGATTTTGTTGTTGAAGGATGATGTCATAGCAAACATATTTTTCATATGATATACTTTCGAATTCAATAATACTCCTTTGCAGCTCCTTTTACCTTCTCAGTTTCTCTGTTAAATACAAGTTGCAAAAAAATCAAAATTACTCAAAAAAAATTTTGTCTAACAGATCATGATATGTATAGGCCAATCATTTGAGTCATCTTTGCATGCTCTTTATGATAGACTAAAAAATATCTATGGGGGAAAAGGAAAGAAACAAAAAACATTATCTCAATATCTCTTAAAATACAAGTGATAAAATGGAAACGAATAGGCCCATCAAATTGCCCCATTCCCTTATGCACTTCTGTGAAAACTGCATAGCAATAACTTCAACCGTTCTAAAATTGCAGATGCTCAAGTTACATGACTCATCCTGAATATGAATAGTTAAATTTATTACCTTCATTCAATCTACTTTCTTTCATTAGAATATTGTCTATAGTATACAGTCATCACAACTGAAACAGTGGAATGAATTTGAAGAATCTTGATACCTCCATGTTGACGTTTTGCGAAATTATAATGCGTCAAACAGTCATTATCGCAAGGGAGACTTGTAGCAACAAAGTCTGTGAAGGCAAGTTGGCTCAATAATGTAACGTTTTAGCAAACTTCCAATTTTCTATATTTGTTTTTGAAAAATTCAAAATAATATGAAATAGAAAACGAATTAATACTATTTCGAATAAATTTGTGCATACGGCAGTTAAATATTGCTCACTTCTAGCTTATCGTTTTACATTGTGTGTATTTGAATAAAGGTGTAAATTTGTGGCAAGTTCTACAAAAATTCTCAATCTTGCTGTTTCTAACAACCCACGTGGCAGTTGCGACCGCAGAACTACCTTTTTCAAAATTGAAAATTGTAAAAAATTATCGGCAAATTTTGATGGGAGAAGGAGAGACTGACAGACCTTGACAGGTGGAAGTCTACAGAGCTTGATTCTAAATTTTATGATTGATTACAATTGAGAAAGGTTATTTCAATTAGTTTTCAGCACACTTTTATTTTAAGTCAGCTGAGACTTAATTTTTTGAGGATGGCTCTAATTTAGTTTTTTAACTTCGGCCACAGAAGGGCTAGTTATGCCACTTTGCGTCTTGATCTACTATGTATGGAGGCTGTCTTGATTAATAAATAATACTATTAAGGCCAAAATGACAAATTTTATGATATCAATGTATCTTGTTTCTCAATTAAATATCACACACTCTAATTTTAGTAAACCAAGCACTTGGATATTTAACCAACCTGCTGTGATGTGAAGTTATGTAAATACAATAGTTCACTGATAATATTCTGTGTGTTTCTTTTTTCTATTCTATTTTCATCCGATTCAAAAGGTATTTTACTTACATTAATTATGGTAAGGTAATATTTTTTGTCACGGAGATAGTCATGAGATCGATACTTGTTACGTACTGTCTGCAGTCTTTTTGCTACAACACAGATAAACAAACATATTGCCATATAACTTGACATCACATGTATTAATCAGGGAGTGCAGCAATAGATCTGCGAGATCCAAGCCACAGCAACTATATCCTCCTGAATTATTGCGATGCATTAGTCATCTGATATTTCATGTATTCCTTCATTGTACTTTTCTGAGAACACCTAGCCTTCTATTTTTATCCTTTCGCTGGATCATTTCCCATGGGCATGTTGAAACTTGATCGCTGCACTGCGCGGTATGTCAAGTATGTTGCGTACACTGGTGACAATGCATTTTGAGCTCCTGGCGTAAGTGGTATGCACATTATAATCTAGTTGGATAAAAGACTAGTATTACCATTCAGATATTGGATAATTTAGATTCATTCTGAATACATCCATAAAATCACTGATGATTTTCTTAATGGTTTAAAACGTTGATGATTTTCTTAATGGTTTAAAAATTTTGATGAAAGTATGATACATAATAATGAATTATGGATGACTAGGGTAACCTGTCAAAACTGACAGGATGAAATCATACTCTTGTATCAATTATTCATTATAATGAATAGAAGACCAATTCAATTTCATTTATACTAAATTTGAGGGGTTTTCCATTTCAAACTTTTGTTCATCATTGGATATTTAACCAACCTGCTGTGATGTGAAGTTATGTAAATACAATAGCTCACTGATAATATTATGGTTTAACTGCAGTCCTCTGGGAGACCACAAAATGATTTTAGAGAGGCCATGAAGGAATGCCTGTTGGAATTTTGTGCTATTTGCAAATTCAGCCACTGGTTGCCTTGTACCATAAAGAATTTGAATTTGGTTTCGGATATTTGTTATAGTCCTTAAGACACATTGCATTCTTGGAATACAACAGCAACTGTTGTCCAACAACAGCAACAGTTAGGTCCATTGTATTCCCAAGAGGTCTCGTGTATGTGTGTGCTGTCCATCTGTATGGGCATCTTCTATTTCTTTGCCATGAGAGAAGGGAATTCTATCATATCATTCCAGGGTTATTGATCCCTCTCTGTCGCATTTTTATTAATTTTTTATTGCATACATTTTTCAATATCTGAAAAATCTTTTTTGCAGCAAATCCTTAAATTATAATTAATAATTACGTAGGAAAAAACAAGTTTCTAACATCCTTCATTTGCTGAAGATTTACTACAGGAAGGGTTTTACTGCAGGAAATTATATTATTGATTATTACACTATTGTCTACACCTTATACTAATAGATATATTTTCGAAAAATTTCATTCTAAGTCATTTGTAGCACATTACCTCACAAATACAATTGTGTTTACAAATTGCATTGTAACGGCGTGAGAGATCTTTCAAAAAAATACATTTGTGTAAATTTTGAAAAAACATCAAATACCCTGACATGAACTTTACGTCACATTGAAGAGTGCAATTAGCACTATCCATTCCAAAAGTTTAAAGAAAAAATTTGGAGCTGTTCAAGAGAAAGTGGCGTTTGAGCGTCTCTGAAAATGCGGAATTTTGGGCTATTTCTCATTTGCAGTCGTTTTTGAAAAAATCTTTTTTTGTATATTTTTAAAATTGCACATCTTGCTCACAATATTGCATGAAAACTACTAAAATTTCCAAAAATTGTTCATGACTTTAATGAAAAACCTGATTATGTGAAAAAAAATCATTTTAAGGAAAAATCCATATTTTCAAATGTATAGTTGTGTGACGTCATGGATACTCACAGCGAACACAGACACAGAGCTTTCATATAATAAATATATTTATTAACAAAGAAAACACAACAAATAGTTACAATTAATTTCCTTCTTACACCCTAGCTCTGATAGACCTACTATCCCCTGATCGCGGGAGCGATCCAAACCCGATTGATGATCGGTTTCGATTGTGGCATTCGCCACTCCTACTTCTGAAGCGCGCACAAAGCCTAGCTTCCGTGACCGGATGTCACACTGGGACACAAAGTCCGTTCTGGCGTACCAACGGATGGTTTGCCTCGATTGCAGGAGCGATCTTATCCGATTGAGAATCGGTGTGAATTGTGGCACTCAACCACTCCTCACCTCGGAGCACGCACACTGCATCGCTCCCCCGTGACCGCAGTCACCCAAGGACACAAAGTCCTCCGCAGGCTTCGTCAACTCGTGACTTGCCTCGCGAGCCTGGCTCGCATATGCACCGTCGTGGCGCCAAGTTTTGTGCACATGCACGAGGTTCTCCCACTGTCTCCAGAACCCACCTCTGAGCACTCCGTTATATAGACGAGGCTCACGTGACCTACTACGTCACGCCACCCCCACCGCTGTTATAACAATTAAAGGTTTCCAAAGACCGAAAGACCCCAAAGCCTTGTGTCTCCCGTTTCCGCGTTCTTGCTTTACGGAAAAACCCTTCTCTCCTTCCTGTGGCGCGGCTAATCCTCTACCAAGCGTCCCGAAATAGATGCCACGAGGCACGATGGCTAATACGTTACAGTTGTAAGAAAACTCCGAAAAAAATAAACTATTTAAAATTTGGAGTTAATCGTGAAAATTGGGCCTATACAATATTTATAAATGTATTTTACTCTATTCTCACAAGAAATTTAAAGAAAAAATTTGGAACCGTTTTTGAGAAAATTTGAATATGTCCAAGGGGTTTCACGTAAATTATCCCCAATTTAATAAAGAAAGTTTTCAAAGTCTCTTCAACTCGCCAGATGGACAGGGGTTTCTACAATTTGGAAAGAATTCTGTGGATGGTTTAGGCACTAGTGGTGTTCACAGACGGATAGATGGACATATTGAAAAAAAACATTTTTTCGGCATCACGGGACCCCAAAACATGCATATCTTTGGAAATGTCGAAATCTATTTTCTGCAGCAATACATAACTTTCCCGGTACTACATATAACGCTACATATATACCTGCGTATACAGGAAAGAAAAAATAAAAGCTTACTTTTTATTTTGACTAATGGACTTGTTTACAATTTTGTTTAACTTGAAAATTGGTTCAAGTTTTTGCAGTCATTCCTCACATGTTTTAGGGTCGCCTGTTTTCTTACAATGACACCCACCGCCATCGTCTGGGAGCAAACTATTTGCAACTTCCTGTTAACTGCCCATATTCTACTAAAGTGTCAAATTACCAGCGAGATGGACCAGCCACTTTCTACAATCAGGATGGTGCACCAAACTACTTCCCCAATAGTTTTGGAGGACCTTCAGTTGTGCCTGAAGCTGCCCAGACAAAGTTTTCAACTGTCGGTGACGTTGCCAGGTGTGTTAATTTATTTGCTTCATAAATCTGAAATGAGGAGCATTTAAAAGAGTTGTTGAAAATTTTCTTAACTTGACTTTATTTGTGTAATTTATTGGGTTAAAATTAGCCGTTTATTTGGTATATATTGTTTAGTTATGAACAAATTCATTATTATCATGTCTCAACAATTTAAAAGATTTCCCTGTCACATGGTTTACTGATGTATTTTATTAAAATTAAATTAGGTATATACATTAAATTAAAAGTATATAGTCCACCCTGCACAGATATATGTTTGCGTATGGACTATGTTTCTATCCGAAGGTGCTAATTTTACTTGAAAATATTTAGGCATTCATAACCTGATATTTTATCATTTGTTAGGTTTGCCTCCCTATTGTTCAAATGAAATAGGATATGTACATTTTTTAGATGGATTAACCGTGAGTTTTATTTTTGTATAGTAATTGTACACTTGCTGTACACTAATCAGTCTTATAAGTTTTTTTTTCTACCTCATCATAGGTTTCTCTTTACTTATAAATTATTTGTGTAGTAAAACACACAGATCTTGTAAACAAGGGTACGTGCATCCACTGTGCAACAGTATGCCACGAGTGTGCACAATGCTTGTAGGAGGAACAGAGGTCACTCTTACTAAATAACTCTGGAATTTGCAGTGTTGATCCCTTTTCTAGTATCTTGCAGTAGACCATGAGTCTGTAGGATTTTTGTCTTCTAATTCTCACACTGGCCACAATTTAACTAATGTTCTGGAGCTCAAATAATCAATCAGATATCTGATTATCCTCAAGTAATACAATCAAAACATCAAAAAATTTATAAAACACAATTTCTTGTTTATATTTCAGAAGTATTCTATATTTTTATTATTTTGTGTTAGGTACAATAATGGTGACGATGACAACTACAGTCAGCCCACAATGTTCTGGAGAAATGTTCTGAATGAAGAGGAGAGGCAGCGTTTGGTGGATAACATTGTCGGGCATCTTAGAGATGCTTCAGATTTTATTCAGGTGTGTTTACTGTATTGTTTTCCCCAAGTGGATGCATCCACGCCTGCATGTTTCTGTGTGCGTGTGTACGCGAACGTGTGCATGCACATGTGCATATGCTGTTAACAATGGTAACTCAGGTTCTATGGAATAGTAAAAAATGCTTTATCTTACAGGAACGTGTGGTGAAGAATTTTACAAATGTAGATGCAGATTTTGGCAGAAGACTGAGAGAAGGCTTGCGTAACAATGCCAGATCCAAATCTGCCAATTTGTAATTTTATTTCACAGGCACTTCGAAACTTATTTTTGAGAGTTCAAATGGTGCATTAAGAATGGCTTTATCCATTTCTTTCTAACCTGGGACCAACACTTCAATGTTTCTACTTTCCCTTTTGTGAGGTTTCAAACTCCCTTTTCTTATGTATAATTACAGTGTTTAATAAAGAAATGAATTTATGTTCATCATGATGAATGTGTTTTGTTCTGATCAAAATTAAACCCTCCTGAACCAGTTTTATTCCTAAAATGATTTTAGCTTTTTTAATTGTACATGTTATTTCATGTTTACACGAAAGCATTTAAAGATCAAGAAGAAAATTGTCTAAAATATATTTCATGAAAAATGTATAGCTTTAGTGAAGTTGTAGATAACCTTCAAACAAAATTTGGACTTTCACAATTTTTGAAATTCCAAAGTTTTTGAGGAAATATTGGTTCTACGGCAGGCACACATTCTCATTCAATTTGTAAGAATTATGTAAATGGTATATTATGAGATAGTTTTATATTTAACTAACTTCCACTAATAATTTATGTTATTCTGCCACAGGTTGTGGCAACCATTTATAATGGTTAACAATTTTTACTAATTTAATTTGACTGTTTTCCAAATATTACATTTATTATAATATTAATTATTTTATTTCAAGCATTACATTGATTTTACAAACCTGGGTTCAACATAACTTTACCTTCTTATTTTACTATTAAATGTGGACGTGCCACTCTGTACAGAGTCGCAATATCTGGAAGTACCTGTTATTAAAAATTTGATAGCAAATTTGATAAAAATTGGATGGGATATCCACGCGATGCTCCTGCTATCATGGTAAGTTCCCGCAGCTGGAGAATTTTGGAACAATTGGTTTGAAAATAATATTCTATAATCCAACCTACTCGATAAATTCAGTCCATCAACGCGACTTTCTCTTCCTGCGCCTCGGATGAAGCGGCCACTCGAGACTGCCTCTCCCCTTATAACAATTTATAATCTTCAGTTATGAGCTCTAGGGCTCAAAAACTGGTCAGACTTAACAATAAATCTTTGTTCTCATTGTGTTGTACATACACACCTTTTTCTGTCAGCCATGACTGAAAAATATAAAAAAATTTCAATAATTTTCTCCCACCATGGACCCAGAACATTGAAAATTAAAATACAATTAGCTTGTCCAGCAAAGGTTGACTGGCTTGAATTGTGTAGACCTATTTTTATATCATTTCCAGTTATTTTATTACCATATCAATAAATACCTGAAAGCATTATATTTGTAAAAGGTGAACTACTAAAAATAAAATTAAAAACTATAAAAAATGTATCTATAAATGTAGATATAGGAAATCGAATTACTAACACATGTATTCAGAAACACTCATTCGAAAGAAGTCATACTGTTTAAGACCACACCCCTATAATAAGTTCTCAGAAAATTAAAAGAATATTAACAATATCAAAAAAATGAATAAGCAAATAAGAGGTTTTTTCTTAAATCTTATGATTACATGAAAAATAAATGAGATGAATGATGAATAAATGACTAAAGTTTTAGAGATATCTTTTTAGAAATTAAAATGAACATAGATAAGGTGACTAATCGTCCTCCTTCAAAAAAGACATTCCTTTTGTAGGTTCTACCCTTCCTTGAAAAGTGTCCTCCTATCTCTCCTTTTCGATATTTTAAAACTAATCTTAATCTCTGTATTCAGAGCTGTCGTGCTGAACTGTTGAACGGAATTTGGTGTCAGAAAGACGGGATTAGTGATGCCAGATAGGGGATATTCCCGCAGTTTTCAGTGGATTTACAACTCGTTCCATGGGGAAAAAGTAGTTCCGCTGACAGCAAAAACAAAACGATGGGGAAAAATTGAGATGGAGGAAAATAAACGGAATTTTAATTAACTTTCATGTTAAAAAAATATCTTGTTCTAAAATTTTAAGTTTTCACAGTAATGTTTTCGAAAACTATTAAAAACATTGATTACTGTGAAATGTTTGTTATCAGCACGACATCTATTGCATATAGAGACATACTCTCAAAAATTTTGTTCACAATCATTGTTGTGAATAATTTTTTATTCTTGGCATGTTTTTAAAGAAACTTGTTATAAGCATTTCCTGAACACACATGAATTTGTTCCAAAATTTACAATATGTTAGAGAAGTATATATTGACAAAAATACTCGTTTTATTAAATAATTAAAAGAGCTCTAAGCATATTTAGTGTATTTTTGTTTTAATTAATAAAATGTCTTGTATATTTATGTTGTATGTTTTACTTTCTTGCACTTACTAATGTAAGAAGAGAACGTATTGTAATCGTGGGCTAGAAAAATGCGAATTTTCGACACCAAAACTCCTATTGCTGGGCCCTAGTAACGAAAAGTGGATAAATCCTGTTACTAAATATAAAAAACAAATTCCTCTACCAGGTGATGGAGTCATAATCCATGTTTTGTGTGTCCTTCACACCGAAAAATCGATTGACTGCAAAACTGACTATTCGTTCACCTGTGCACAATTGCCTAGCGCATCAGCCGATTTTCTCCAAAATTGATATTCTTCGATCATTCTGACAGATGTCATGACACCTGGAATTTGAAACCGATAATTTCATTTTGAGGGTACTTTACATAAATACCCCTGACATTAAAAAATAAATAAATTCAAAATAGGTCCAAATTTTTAATTAAATTTTGTTGTTGAATAGTGAGAAGGGCGTTTAAGAGGTCTCATTTTCATCTTGGTCAAGAGGTCTCGTATAGGTCTCATATACGTTAAAATTCCCAATTTTTGGAAAGTTGCAAAAAATGTTTAAAACTACAAAATTGAAGATATGTAGAGATTTTTGCCTGAGACAAAGCATGTAGTACAAAATTAGCTCTTTAAAAAATGATGTGTACAATTTTTTTTAATTAGTAGTTTTTGCGTAGTTTGTTCTTGAATATATGATAATTTTTTCTCATAAACCACTCAAAATTCTTTCTTTAAATTTTCTACACTTTTTTAATAAGGGACAGTAAAGAAAATATGATACTAGTCCCTTATTTGTGCTCTTCTTTAGCCTTTGCTCTGATTGCAGCTTGAATTTCCCTCTCTTAAATAGGAGAGGGAAATTCAAGCTGCAAATCATACTGTTGTCTATGTAGTTATCAGAGCCTTTTAACTTTATCTTATTCTTTATAACCTTTATTTGTTCCTCAAATGAAGCCATTTTCATTTTAATTTCCACATAATCACTTTCACTCTACCCTCTCTGCCTTTGCCCAAGGGAAATGCTTCTGGAAAATTCGATAATCCAATCTGTTGTAGGACACTATTAGTAATGTTTACAGTTTTTGCTTTGCCTTGGAGGTATATTAGCTTGCTTTTTATTATGAAATTGTTTTTCTTTTCTATTCTAATATTTCTTCCAATCCATTCTTCTATTAATTTTAGTCTTTGTTCAGCACTTTTTCTTCTCTCTTCATATTTTTCATATATTTTAATTTGTTGGTCCACATCATTTTTATTTTAGAGTGAAATTTCTTCTAGCAGCTTGAGTCTTGTATTTAGCTCAGAAATTTCTGCCTTCACGTTTTTACGTAAATCAAATGTCTTCTTTCTAATTTCTTTTAATTCATTCAATATTCTGTGCAATATATCTTCAGTGCTTTCAAGATTGCTTTTTTGGTGGCATTTTTGAATTCGCTTTTCTAAAATTGGTAAATTCTGGTTAATTCTGGTCCAATATAAATTTGCAGTGTATTGTGTTTGCGACTCTTGTGTGTGAACTTGCAGTGTATTTAAGGTGTGTCGGTGGTATTTCAGTGATGGAAGACATAATAGAGATGATAGATGACAAATTCTACGAGTTCTTTGATCGTTTAGAGCGTCCTCGCAGAAGGCGTGTAATTTGAGATCGGCCTGAGTATTTTGAAATCCTCGACGATCATGATTTCAGATCCCGTTTTATATTAATAAGGCCTGCGGTGAGCAAAGTTCTGTATTTGATAGAACAGAAAATAAAAACAACTGGTTTGTGAGTTATATTATATTTCTGCACGAATTGGTCCTGCTAAATTCATTTTATGTAAAGATAATAAAATGTATACTTTGTGATTTGTTAGTAATGCAGCAGTTTCACCAATGAATCAACTTCTTCTCACTCTATGTTATTATACAACGGGATCATTTTTTACTGTTATTGGAGATTTCAGTGGGGTGAGCAAATCCACTGCTTCAAAAGTAGTAAGTCAAGTATCTCACACCATTGCAGAATTAAGACCTACATTTGTAAAATTTCCAAGAAATATAGGAACCATTCAACAAGATTTCTATGAAATTGTCCGATTTTCTAGAGTTCTGGGAGCAATAGATTGCACACATGTTCCCCATACAATCACCTGGTGATATGTAACATACATTTCTTCTGCTTAAGAGAAGTGACACCTCAAAAATAATATTTGTAGGAGAGTGGCTTTAAGTCGAGTCCAGTCAATTTTACAGTGTTCTATTCGATATAATGACTGTTTTGTCAATTATTATTGTGATGGAATTTTTCCTAATACAAAATATGCTATTTTCTGTACATCTTCATATTTCTTTCCCTAACAAATAATTTTTAAGATGTAACTTCATTTTCATATCAATGATTGCTGCTTTATTGTTAATTTTACTTGAAACCTATTCTAAATTGTTTTATTAATTAGGTAATATAATTTCGCAAATTATTTCTTGTTATTTTGTATTATAGTATCATAATGAAATGAAAATATTTGGTCACAAACTCAAAATTGTTAATTTAGATTGTAAATTGCATTCTCTTTAACAAATAGCACTTCAAACTGTAAATATCCTTGCTAATATATTTTGTAATTTTTTTCCAGTGGACAAAATGCAGAAGTTTACAGAGACAGAAAAGGAAACTTCTCCATTAATGTTCAAACAATTGCAAATGCAATTGATGATAATGGACATTGTTGCCAGGTGGCCTGGCCCCTGCTACCACCAGACAATTTTCAATAATTCTTTCATATAGCAGAGATTATTGGACAAAGAGTTCGGGGAAAATTTTATTTTAGGTGATAAAGCTATGAGAATAATAATTTTCTCCTAAACGCCTCTCCATAACCCATCAACTAGTGCGGAAAACTTGTACAATGAATCGTACATCAGAACAAGAAATGTAGTGGAGTGATCATATGGTGTGTAGAAAAGCAAATTTCCAGTTTTATCCAAAAAAATAACTGTTCACTTGCAAAAGTACAAGCAATTATTGTTGCATGTGCAGTATTACATAATATTGCTACTGATTTGGGAGATGACCACTTCGAGGTACAAGAAGAAGAAGATAATAATGATAATAATGTTACAAATAATAGTCAAAATTCAGCCCAGAATAAGTTGACAAAGAATATTTTTCATGTTTGTAATAATATTTATTTTTTTGAAAGGCAAAAATGCATTAAGACCTCAATCACAAAGACTAATTTTTATTACAAGTCACTTATTTTTTTCTTGAACCTTCCGCAACTCTTCTTTTTCTAATTTATGCATTTCCATTTTCTTCTCTAATTCATGCATTTCCATTTTATTCTTCTTCTCCAATTCATGCATTTCCTTTTTGTGCTGTATCTCATCTTCAGCTAGTTTCTTTTGTGTATTTGCCACTTCCAGTTTAGTTTCCACCAGCATCTCAAATGGCCCTTTTTACCTATCAATAATAATAATTACAAAAATGTTGTAAATTGATGTATAGTACACAAGGATAAAATAGGTGGTGAATTGTGGAAATAAATAAGCTTGCTTTGAAATATATGAATTTTATTAGGAGTGAAATACATTGTGTTGTAGTGAATTAAAGGCTTTAAATGAACAAAAGAATAATAATTTGGGGTATCAAGAAAATAAATGATTGTTTATGAAATAGTATTAGTTAAAAACATATTTTTTACTATCATTTTACAGAAAACAACGTTATAGATGAGTTATTTCACTTAATTGATCAGTAATATTTAATAGAAATAGTAAAGTGAGAATGTAAATGTTTAAAAATTTTAACATAAGGATGGATGCTTCATTTTTCTTAATGAATCAGGATTCCACGACTTCCATTTACTTTGAGAATCATGATTTTCTTGGGGGGTGACTTGGCTTGATGAACATGGCTGTATATCAGCTTACCTTTAAAAAAATAATTTAATGGCAGAAGTATTTTTGTAATGTAAACGTAATGATAAGTGAGAATAACAATATAAAGTAATATACCTTATGTATTAATGTGAACACAGAGTAATGTACATAAAATATATTTATTTTCTAAATAAGAGAAAAATGAATATACATAATGTTATTAATAGGGGGCAAATTTTAATGAAATGTCATATTTTTTCATCATGAGATCAAACTGAAGTTAATCTTTCTTTGTTCACATAAATACTCAGAGGGCTGTAAAGATAGATATAGTTTTACCATTTACTTCATTTTGAGAGCTCTTGCCACTCATTCTCTTACTACCCATTTCATTCTGTGAAGGATTATGCCACTCAGCAATTACATAAGATGTATCTGAAAGAAATATATTTGCATATAAAATTCACATCAAATACAAATCATTGCTGTAATATCTAATTCATTAACAAACTTTAGGAGGAGATTCTTCATTTGGAGCACTTGCATTCTCGTTCTCATGTTCACCTTCTAGAGGGAAGGAAATGGATGCCTCTTCATCCAAAATCAACACACTTGGAGTAATTTCTGAAAAGATTTAAGTCGTGCTTTTAAAAATACATACTATTATAAAAGTATTAGATATACAAATCCGTATTAATTATTGAAACGTACCTGTAGTTTTATCCGAATCATAAATGCTTTCGCTGCCTTCCACAGACAATAAAATCATTGAATTTATTTTTTCTTCTAATGGAGTTTAAGGCGGCATATTTACTGTACCACCGCTAGTTTTATACATTTGTGCCCGAAGAGCAGCAACTTTTTTGCGTAAATCCCTCTTCAGAGAATCATATTCGCCTTTAAGAATTTTCGCTTCGCGAAAAATACCTCCTTTCGAGCTATTGAAAGCCCCTTTCAATAGCAGACCAAGCCACTTCCTTATCCTGCCACGTGGTAGCACCATTTATTTTGCATTCAATGATGTTTTTCCACTCCGCAACGAGGGATACAAGTCTCTCGGTTTCTTCGCGAGAAAAATTAACACATCTTTCTCTCTCCTTTCCTTCTCCCCTTTCCATTTTGAATTACTCACAAAAACAAAGTATAGTGCAATAAAACACACTAACACACAGTTCACGGAGGAGTATACTGTAATAACACAAAATCACAACGAAAGAAGCAAAAAACACCTCACCAGCCTCACACACACTTGGAGCAGCATAACATTTGAATTCGCTCGTATTTCGCGCGTTTGAGTCGAAAATGCGGCGTTGCCGCTAGTGAAATAGTTATCTGGAAGATTATTTATCAGACAGATATGTCAGATATTTAACAGGAAAGACCTAGATGAAACGCAAAATAAGTATCAGAAACTTTTATCTGACGGAGAAAGTAACTGTCGGATGAGTATCCGGAACTTTATCAGGGACGGTGAAACAGGCCCTAAATAACAGTCACATACATTCCACATAAGGATCCTTCGATAAAGTTGTATCAACCACTACTAGATGTTTCTTCGCCCTCAGTTCGACGTTCGGGCTAGATAAAGGGTCCGTGGCGGGGGAAGTAATCTAACCTCACTTTTTGTATGTACTAAGTTCTTCTTTTGCCAAGATTACGCTAAGGTCAGATGTAATTCTAACTGCACTGTATGGAGACACTTTACTTCATCCTGGTTCCTTTCTGCAACAGTTCAATCTAGTTAACACCTTTAATTGCTTGTTTCCCTAGAGCTTCATATATACACGTCACTAGCAGTTCTAGATATATACTCTCTGGTCCTAGCCATTTTTTACTTTATTACAATCTAATTTGTGATCAATTTGTTTCATCGCTGCCTTAAAGCGTTCACGCCCCGGAAAACTATTCGTTTGTTTCTCATTACTTTCCGGCATTTCATTCAGTTCAAAAATATTTACTGTAAAGTATTTTATTTTCTTCCGTAAGAATCTCTCTCTGTTTCTTAATTCCCTGTCACGATTTACGTGATGACCGTATAGTAAGCATACCCACTTAACACAAAATTGAAAAACTGTATCCCAGAATTTTGTTCCAATTAAAGACTAATTTATACCGAAATTTAAAAATTTTCTACTAATGCACAACATCAAAATATTCAACACTAAATGTGGGTACGCTAACTTAACGTTAAGTTAGCATACCCACACAAGAAAAACGCATGAAACATGAAAACTAAATGTACCAGAAGTTTGTTCTAATTAAAGACTAATTTATACTCAAATTCTAAAATGTTGAAAAAATGCGCAACATCGAAATATTCAATACTAAAGGTGGGTACGCTAACTGAACGTTAAGTTAGTATACCCACACAAGAAAAACGCATGAAACATAAAAACTAAATTTACCATAATTTTGTTCTAATTAAGCTATTCGCATGATTGATGAAACTTCACTTCGCGTGCAACTAATGTTCTCTCGCATGTTAATGCCTATTTGATAGCATAGAAATGTTTCTCTCACCGTATTCTATAGGATGAGATTTCTTGGACACTCCATTAATTTTTTGCAGGTTCGGCACATATATCGACACCACTAATGCCTGCTATATTTCAACCTTTGGCAATCTTTGTGACGTCAGGCCTAGAAGGCTCAGATTCCCTTATACTATTTGCTCGTTCTGTGTACACTGTGGTTTGCGCAGACTGACGACATTTATTTGCATAATTATTCATTCAATATTCGCTCTCGCAGCGAAAATTAGAAGTTTTTGTCGAGGTCTGCAAGTGCTGTATACGTAATTGTGGAGGAATAGGGGTGTACAGTGTAGAATAAACACGTGTCTTCTTAGTTCTGGATTGTGATTTTCCTCTACCAATAGTACCGTTATCAGCAGCAATATGGTGAAATATTTTTAAGTCAGCGTGTTCAGCCACGTAGCTTTCTCAAGAGTGAAAAGATTTATTATTATTTTTGTGACTATCACGAAGAGCTAACTGTCAAACAACATTGAATAATTACTTCAAATATTTTCAAGGAAGTGTGAATTGTTCCACGAAATCTCGGGATAATACTGAATAAATATTAATTGAAAATTTCTTTTCAGCATCAATCGCAAAGTTTTTACTCTCTCTTGTACATTCGTACATACGGAGTAATATAGGAAAGTTGTGTAGTGCTAAACAGCACATACTTTCTCGCATTTAGTAATAGTTACGTAATACTTTTTGCACTAGTTATGTAATACATTTTTTTAAATAAATTATAAAATTGGAATGATTGGAATTTAAGCTATTCCTTTTCCTTTACATGAAGCCCCTGGGATATTTAAAAAAAATTGCTCCAACATTTTGATTGAATTGAACTTTTTGATTACATTTTATTGTTCGATAGCCATCATCACCCTAAAGGCATTGTTCCATGGCGCTGCCTCAATGACATTCTGTCCTCCACTGTCCTTTTGATATCTGCATAGCTTTTTTAATTGTAATTGGGATTAAAGTTGTTGATAAATTTATATTTTAGGTCTCCTTCCTCGTTTTACATCTCGTTTTACACTTTGCATCTCAATCTATTTTTCCACAGATACCAAACTAGAGATGCTATACTACTATTACAGACCGAGGTAAACAATCTGTCATAGTAGTACATAACTATCTTTTTCACATATTTCCGTCTTCCTTCGGGTACGATTTTAAAATTGTTTGAGGCATTACTCAAAATATCGATTCAGATTTGGAATTTTTTTTTAAAGAACTAATTATGTAAATATCACCATTATTCCATCTCCTCACATCTTATTTTAGATATATTTTACTTCTAAGGTCTTCTGTTATCACTCCACCTTCCGTTGTCAAATACTGTAAAACTGAGCGGAGTATACGCACGAGTTCTTTTATCCTACAACTCGATTTTTGATCTCAAAACGACGTTTACCTGCTTTAAAGGGTTCATCTGGTTATTCTCTAAATAATATACAATATAATAACAAATATATTTATTTACAAAAATATACCTCCCGAAAAATAATCGGCAGGATCCGCTCTTGCTGTGACATCTCTTTTAACTCCGTAAACGGAAGGCAATAACACAGACCCTCGTATGTCATCGAAAGCGACCGCAGATCCTGCACAGATCTGGCGTCTCCCATGGCAACGCTTCAGGTAGAGAGGCGAAACGATGTGAGAGGGACTTGAATTTTTATGACGCGAGCTACAATTACTGGTAACATTGGGGAAAGTTTTATCTCGTAAACTAAAAGCAAATTATAATTTTGAATTTCTTGGTACTTTTTATGCACGTAGCCGCAGTTATCTACAGTGTAATTATTATAATAATTATTATTATTTCTATTTTCATTTATTCAAAAGTACCGAAATCAAGGGTAGACTTGTGAGATCGGAGTCGGTAGGACAGACAGGCAATACATTCACAATCTCTGTTTCACATACTAACAGGCAGATACAAGAGAGATAACACAGAGAATTTGTGACTGACCAACGAAATTCTAAAAGTTTTTACATCTTATGTTTGTAACATGAAAAAAGTAAAATTTATGAAAAATGAGTGGTTTTTCTCTGCGACTTTTTGCACTGACGACTGCTGCAGTTTTCGAATTATGTTTTGATGAATCAATCACACCCTTGTTTTTCCATTCAGTCATGAGATTAGAGGCAACCAATCTCCTTTTTCGCTTTCGAGATTTGACGCAGAGATTTTTTGTTGGTGCGTGGTACGCGATTTTGATGCAAAAACCAACGTTGGAATTTCTGATTGTTCGTAGTGATTGTTGGAGCGGTCAAAATATTATTGAAAGAAATGTTTATATAAACACTCAATTCATTGGCCATTTCTGTACTTGAAATTATTTGTGAATATACTCCTCTATAAATCGAAGTTTTTAGTACCTGGGATAGTACATCATAAAAAGCCACTTTTCACACTTGACGTCTCAAGAATTACTTCATTGACGTTGAAAACCTGAAAAGTGTTCCCCTAGTGTAACGATTTTTTGACGCCTCATCTTTCTGAAGGCGGGCAATTATGACAATAAATCTCTCTTGAATAGTGAGTGGGAAATTTAAATTACTTTGCACAAATAAATATATTTCCAAAACTAAAAAAACTAATAAACCACACTATTTAAATATTACTGCGCTCGTCGGACATACGAGTTGAACTAAAAGGATTCGCGGAGACCTACAGTGTAAAGTATTCGCATATTGACGTATTTGGCAAATTTGCCGCCCCTACGCCAGCAGATTCGAGGAAATAGTATATATGCTTGACAACTATTGTATGAGGTTCAATATCAACTTCACTGATTTATAAGAATTGTTTCTTGTCTGAGAAGACATGAATTAATGTGTAACATTTGTTTGCTTCAATGTGTTACTCAAGTGTAAACATGTTATACGTATTTCATTTTAATTTGGTTTTCTGACTTGTGGAGGGACGGCTTTATAGCTTTTGTCGTAGTAAAGGACAAACAATACACAGTTAAGTTAGAGAAATTATATCGTCTAGTTATTAAGCAAATGTACGAAGAAAATACTTCGGCGTCATCACACCACTGCATAAAATCAATTTTTGCATGTAAACTATACTGATGTATCTGTTCGAACTTATATCAATTAAAGAGAAGATTTGAAGCCGCGGGCAGCCTTGAGTACTCCCGTACGAAAAGGCCATACTTATAAAACGATAAAAAAAATCCCACATTATGTATTCACTTTATTGCTTATTTGTTTTCCTTATTTTCTGTATGATGTTTTCTTTTCTGGTCTATGGATACTTGCGCGTTAATATATTTGGACAGCAAGTAGTTGCAAGATTAGGCGGGGCAGCAGGCGCAAGCTTCAAGATTCACCGAGCGCATTCCTCAGCCTCGCCAGCAAAATCAAGCTCCCAAACTATAAGAATGAGAGTGACTCGGTAATGAACAGACGCAAGTGACACCGTGGAAGTGAGCGAGGAAGCTGTTCAAGAGGAGAAGGGCACCGAGTAAGCGAGCCATCAGTGAACTTGGTGTGAGCATTCTTCCACGTTGTCTCATTTGCGAACCACTGTCCAGTGTCCATATCGACTTGAGAAATCCCGGGGCCCTCCCCCACGCGCCACTTTATTCGAGTCCAGCTTTTCTTTCCCGGAAGTCCCTGTGCCCTAGTCCTTCCGCTAGGTGGCGATGAAAACGATGCCCGATGCATCTGAGCAACACCTGCTGTTGTGTGAATAGTTTTTCACAAGGACAGACTGAATTCAGATCCCGCAGCCCAATAGAAGATGCAAAGAGACGATAACGAAACCGACTGTCTGGCTTGCTGTTATCCCGCAAGTCCCGCCTGCTCGCCGGGCTGCCGCACGCCGCCTGCCCTGTCTGCCCCCGCGCCGACAGAGGGCCCACAACAATCGGTGGGTGATCGCAACGCGAGGAAGGGAAGGAGCAGAGTGTCGTAAATGCTCACTTTACGACGCTTCCTATTCGTTCGATTTGGCAATGATTGTTCACGCGTTGGATTTCAGAAGCATGTCGCCATCGCCTATAAGCCTACTTTTTTTCTCGGAAGTTTGAAACTAATTTCAATTCAGTTTTGCTAGATTTTTGGAAAAAGGCTTCGTAGCGTAAATTGTATTTTAAAAAGAGTTCAAAATGCCGTTTACAACGGAAAATCGGACATTGGTTCAGACGTTATCGGTAAAGTAAATTCCCCTGTGATAGTGCTGCGATCTATTGAATTTTCCTACAAGAATTTTTCGGTTCATTTAGCCTTAAGAAACTTGTCACTCGATTTGAACTCAGCATGCTACGCAGTGCTACGCGTACGCTCAGCGTACGGTGTTGCCGACTTGCGTGTTTCCGTCCCGATCGTCTAAAAAACGTGCTAATGTCTGGCTTCGGGATAATGGCTTGTTAGTTTGCAGGGTTTTTACTTTACAACTTTTCAACATTTAAGAATTAATTCCAGGAAGTACATTGTACTCAAAAGACTGTAAATATGTATCAATTTCGTATTATATATTTTTATTATAACAATATATTGTCAATTACTGTCAATTATTGTCCATTAGTAATTGACAGTCATACAAATTTCTGACCAATAAGTATTATAATGTATTGTAACTATATGTATAAACATTTTCAAATATAAAATATCAAAAATATGTGTAGCACAAAGTATGTGTAACAATTCCCAGGGGTCACGACATCAGCT